AAAAAAAAAGAAGAAATTCCCAGAAATAAGACTATAAACTAGTTACATCTGTGAGGTTAATTTCACGAAGGATCTCTGGATCTTATCCATTATAATGGTAAGGTCTTCGATCAGTATTTTGTCATTAATGTGGGTAAAGTTTGGTGACTATACTGTTAGAGTGAGTAAAGTTCAATTACTTTAATGTGACAAGAAATAGTTTTCTCATGTCACTCTTATAGTGAATAAAGTTCAGTAACCTTACGCGAGATTAGTCCTACTCTGTGTTATCTCATTCCATAAGAACTTCCCTGTCGAAAGTCTTAGGGATAACTAGAATTAATACTATGAAAGAAGGTTTTGATGATGGCAGCTTCTATCATATCGAACTCCAATGACAGAAATAACATACAGCCATGTAATGGGCAGGTTTTGTCTGTTATGTGAGAACATTGAGAAGAACAGAACTATAGTTAAGGTAAAATTTAGTACCTTATAACAGATTGAAATTCTAACCACAAGATTTTTCAATTGAATTCTTTACAACGTACCGGCCTCCATGTAATCATTAGAGGTTTTGGTGCATCCATCAAGTACTCTTCCATTGCTGTAATGAATGATTCAGGTGGCTGTATTCATTAATTAGAAGAAGAAACAGCATGTTACAACAAGAAATGTCAGCATTATTATGTAAGGTCTATAAACTAGGATCATACAACATTGTCAAACAGACTTAGAAATCTGAAAGGAGTACCTGTTTGTAGTTTAAGATTATGAGAATATACGAATCAGGGATAGAAATATGGACCAAAAGGAGAAAGAGACAAAGACTAACTGGATTACCTTTTCAATTTTAACATATTTCTGACCTCGTCCAAAGTCAAGGTTCCTGCATATCTCAAAGAACTCAGATAGCTTTACTGCCTGCATCACATAGATATATTTCCAAGTATTAAAGCAAAATATGCACAATGAGTAGCTCGATATATGCATATGTACAAAGAAGATGCACATACCTGGTCTCCTGCCCTTCGATAAATTTCAAGTGCCCTGACCGCATCATGACGTTGCATCTCAAAAAACTGTCAAAGGTTATTAGTCAATGCCAATTGTTTTTCACATTGATCTGTCCATTATCACAACTATTTGGACTATATCGTACCTTGTCCACCAGGTTAAGCATCCCATCAGCAATTGCTACGTATAGACTCGCACTTTCTGCTGCAACCTATATCAAACATAAGATATATGATAAGTTGATTTTCAATGTGAAAAGCATTAAAGCCAAATGAAGTTACTGGTATATAGTGAAAGGACATTCAGTAATAACTCACAATTGAAAGGGCATGCTGAATCAAGAAATTATATTGAGCTGCTCCCACTGGCTGAAAATATGACACTCATTATTCCTCTAAAGCAAAGGAAATGTATTTGTACCAGAACATTATAGGACGACATACACGTGAACCAAAATATAAAAAAAAAAACAGAGATTTCAAATGATTACTCAGTGATCGATTGATCCATCACCTGGCAATCAAGAAGGCGAGAGAGCAGTTGTTGTAAAGCAGGTATTGTTCCTATCAAGGTTGGGGTGTTTAGCTCCTTTATTCTCTGTTTAGTATCAATAACAATTTCATAACAAAATGAAAGACTTAACTATTACATTGAGAGAACTTTAAAAACAATCAATTTCAAAGAAAAAAATTGCATTCCAAAATGGTTTAGGAAATGGATTTTATAACATCTAAGATAGTTTTATTCAATGCAAAAAATAACATATATACCTTCCGTTCTCTCTGAAAATCATATCTCATAATGCAGAAGCATTCAAGGTATTCTTCCAGATATAAAGAATAAGAACGAATCCAAGTCGAATAGTCCCATGCTTCACAATCAAAATCAGAAGAATCCACACTGTCAGTTTCTCGTATTTTAGTAGTTGTAATTATTTGCATATGATTAATCAAAAAGATAGGCGATACGTACCATTGGTGCTCGTATCATCCTTGAAATGTGTTAGGTTTAACAAATGGTCTCTATGAGCAGTATAATTAACAAGCTCTTGAAGAAATGAAACATCGACTTCCCTCATAGCACGATGAATAACAATTAACGCTTTTAGTGCAACCTGAAAACATAATATAAGAGCCTGTCAGTAGAAAAGTACATATGAACTTTGTACCTCAAAATATTTACAGGCATATGATCTACATGAAATTCTTCGACGCAAGACTATGAAGACGAGAATTGTAAAAGAAACAGCCATCGGCAAAAAGTACTCAATGCATTGAAGTAAAGTAAATGAAACAAATAGCATGGTGTAATTGGATCATACTTGCCAAGTACGCGTTTTGGTGAGCCTCTTGGAGAGAGTATGTAAGCAATAGCAAACATCTGCTCGAGGTCTGTTGCTTGAAACTGCATTGAAAAGAGCTGCAAAAAGAAGAAGTTGAGTACATTGTGCAATAACCATTTAAACGCAAAAGGAAAACAAATGCATGACAAAAAACATTTATCTGTCAAGTCAAAAGGTTCATATATGACACTGAAAAACATATTATTTGGACACATCTCCTAAATTTGATAACAAAATGGCTAAGTCGAAATTAGAAGCCCATAATTCCTAAAAGGAAATGAAAGAGACATCTGTATTTCTTATGAACATCACTAATTTCATCCGAGGTTGCCTCAGCCTTCAATTAACGGAAGTTCTATGCTGCTGAGACCACTAAAGATTGACACAAAGCCATATAAATTCGATGTCTCTGATGTGCAAAGTTCAAATTGAACTTACTTCGTACATGCTTCTCCTTTGGCAGTAGTTCGACATGGTTTGTGGCTTTGAGTATAGCGACATCTAGTTTCTGAAGAAAAACAAGATTCTTAATCAATGGGTTTTCTAACTCAAAATTTAGACTATTGCATAAACATTCTAATATAATATATTTTCAAAGATATAGTTCACCTTGTACTCGCTGTTAACCTTGGCCATCCCAACCATTGTGGAGTCTTTTAAAGCACCAAGAGCTTTTCTCGCCATATGCAGCAATATCAGAACCCCTAGAACTTAATTTTGTTACCCAATAACAGAACCTGGAAAAAGACATGCAACAAATTTCACGTAATGCATTTTAATTGAGTAATTAAGAGCTAATCAAGGAGCCAATACATACTATATAAGGTGGATGCAAAGTCTATTTTCTGATTCCTTTTATTTATACAAAAGAACAGAAGTTCATCAATATTTACCCATCATTTGGACTCTGGCTACCAACTAATCAAATATCACATTTAAAAATGTAAAATCACTGTGTTATTAACCATATAACACTTCCATCATTTATCATCATTAAAAGCTAAAGTTTTTCTCAAAATCTGATCCCAAAAATGGACAGAGATCCATAAAACAAACAATGCTTAATATAATTAAA